AATCTTCGTTGTTACTCGTGACCCCCGTTTCGTTTTGAATAACACTTTCAGTATCCTCAGGGGATACAAGTTGCAACAACTAAAAGCAGTACCACTCTTCAGTATTTGAATATGATGAGTAAAAGATTTATGAGCTCAACGTTTGTAGTAACAAATCTTGATACCAAATATCAAAATAACATTAAAAAGTGTTGCCACACCTCTGCAAAATTTTGCTGACATACTGAGAATATTTTGTTTGCTTCCGCACATTCTAGGATTCTTTCTTGTTCAACATCTAGAAAAAGTATATAAATTTAGGAAGGAACTGAACTGTTATTGTAGAGTAAACAAAACAGCTGAAAAAAGAGTTAAATTTTTTATTATTCTGCATAAGCATCTTATAGTATTTTCTGCTCAATCCTACTCTGAATAACTGAAATTAATATATTCTAAATAACTAAAGAAGAAAAATGACTAACCGGAATACTGCTTCTTTAGCAGTTGCAATTCTTCATTAATGTTTGCTATTTCATTTTTTAGTGTCATTGCAGCATTCTCATCCTCATTTTTCAGACTCTAAATTTTGCATATTTATTCTATAAAAACTAAATTGATCAAAAAATTCAATATTAAGAAAATCAAATTACTCCTTTTTTAGCTTTCTCAAGTTCAGATATCCTTTCCATCAATTCAGCATTCGTGATGGTTTCTTCGTCATGACGAAATGCTAAATCATCAAAAGCCTAAAATTTATATGATGAACATTTCTTTTAGCATAAAAATCATCGAAAAACAAGGAAATGATTATTAAAAATGAGTAAAGTTCTTTACACAATATCGTCTTCATGTCTTATTAAAAGATACCGTTCCGAAATTCTAAATACTAAACCTTGAGTTTTTGAAACAGGATATCTCAAGCAATAAAAAATTACATCGTTCTTCTCCTTTAGCTGCATAGTGAGATCTCTAATCGTGTCCTCTGCGACTTTCAATTTAGCACTCACTTCAGTCAACTTAGTATTTATCAATTTACACTCTTGATCCACCGAATTTTTTGCTTTTTCCAACTGTGCCGTTTGTGCTGCAATTTCTTCACAACGATTTGACAAAGCTGCCATTTCATGACGTTCAAGATCACGTTCCCTAATCATCTGCTCCAAATGTATCTCTTTCTCTTTTAGTGAGTCCTGTAACTAGTATAATGAAATTATGAACCAAAAATTGTTTTTATGTTCTAAATTATAGATTTATGATTTAATAATTGAATGCACGTGATTATGTCATTGAATCAAAAAGTTCTTCTATTCTGTTCAGAAAAAGAAGGCACGAATGAAAAGTTAGTAAATTCAAAATGTCGAAAATGATCATAGGAATAATAAAATCCATATAGTACTACAGATTAAAAATGTAGTTAAAAAACAGAAAATGCAAGAAATCAATAAACAACTAACTTTAAGTGTTTTAAACAAATCTTCTTGTCCCCTAGCTGCTGACAAAATAAATGGCCTCTGAAATTAAAAGCATTTAAAATGAATTTGAGTTAGTAGCAAATCAAAAAAATGACTTAAATTATAAGAGCATTGAAAATAAAACCTCCACCATTCTTTTCTTTTACCAATCATTTTTACTATTTTTTCGAGATCAAAATAGCAAGAAAAACTGCAGAAGCAATCGTACCTGAATCTGCCGTGGCGTATTTGAGTTGAATTTCGAAAGTCGAGAAGAAGCGACTGACGATGCTCCAATAGATGATAACGATTCTTGACTACCAAAGCGTAATCGCAATGCAGATGTCTTTGTATGTCGAATCTAAGAAAATTTTAGGATTAGCTAGAATCAAAGAAAATATCAAAAATGTTAAAAACTTCAGTAGCTATCAAGAGATTTCTGCAAAGCATGAATAATCATTTTGCCACCTAGAAATGCGCCAACTCTTTATAAACTCACTAATTACGCTTAATTTTATGATTATGGACAATCAGTGGCAAAGGTCTTACGAAATGTCTGAATATTCATTACTTTGAACTTAAAAAGATAAAAAATTAAATGACTAAATTAATTACCAAACAAGTGTGCTAAGTGTTGGATGTATCAGTTTTCTGTTAAGAAAACTAATATAAAGTGACTAGAAAGAACTAAGAGAAATTACTTCTTGATGCATACTTTAATCTTGGGCGTATTTTGATAAGGCACTCGGACAACCTTTGATGCAGCTGCAAAAAGACCATATGGAGGTCTGCATGTGAAATAACGCTTACCCTGAAATCTGAAAATTTTTGGGCAACATAAATATAATATATTCAAAAATCACCGCAATTAGATTTTCGAAAATTCTACCACAGGTAAAAAATGTGTCAATTTTTTTACACCTGAACGCTCCCATCATTTTTGCCAACAGGCTGATCTAATTCAATTCCAGCCCAAATACCCTCCTTGAAATCTGTCTCTCCAAGAAAGCGTAATATCCCATATTTACCTCCCGAAACAAGAACCCGATCACCGATTTCCATCCTAGAATACCAATGAAAAAATATTTAAAAAGCTGTGAGTGGACAAATTAACCAAAATATAACAACACTTGGCCATTTTAACCAATATACTTTGAGAACAAGAGATGATGATGTTTTATGCTTAATCATTTAAATGAGAGAGGCTTGAAATGAATATGAACTAACAAACCCATATTCTTTACAAAATTCATTGTTCTGAGAAGCTTCGATCATAGGACTTGATAACTGCACACGTTCTAGTTTGCTAGCTTTACAAAACAGTCCATGATAAGGCTTGCACTGAAATTTTCAACCCATCAAAAAAAAAGCTACGAAACAAATACGACTGTTTTTCATTTGCTTAAAAACTTAGCACTTGCAGTGAAGTAACGATGGCCATCGACAGAACCATCATTTTTGCCCAAAGGCTCATCAAGAATAATCCCTATCCATTCACCAGGCGCAAACAAAGTTGATCCAATAAATGCAATACTTCCTATTTTTTCACCAATCTGACATCGATCACTAATTTCCCAATTACCCACATGGCTGACTGCAGATATTAAAGAATCTTTGCCTAAAAACAAGACATGTATTTAAACCAATTCAAGAAAACATGCATTAATACCAATTTCGTCAAAAGCCGTAGAAAGTAGTTTGAAACATGACACTGGTACATCTGCATAACTTATTCGAGAAATACTGCATCTGAAGAAGAAATGCTTATTTCTCAATTGATCAATTACTCGTAACTAATAAGAAGAAATTATGTTTAGTGCATTTGACTTCGCAAATATTTCCAACTCAAAAGCGATAACTGAACACACATATTATAATTTGGACAACTTCACACTTTCATTAAAACTATAAATAATTTTCTTTGCACCCTCCATGAAATCTTAATCATGATCATTCAACAACTCACCAAAAAAATTAATATTATAAGATGAACAAAAACGAACTGGTAAAACGGATCAGATTAGTAGAACGTGATTCCTCCATTTAATAACTGCGCACCTTATTGAACGCCGAAAAATCCTATCGATATCTGAATAATTTCAAAAATCAAAACACTCATTTCTTTATTCCTTAAACAAAACTGAGCACATTAAGCAGCACGTAGAAACTTGACATGATTATAAAAGTTTTCATTAAATGTGACCTGAAATGATAATCTAAGCAAAAAAGTGCAGTAGTTAAAGATTCAAAGTGTTTTCATAAGTGGATGAAAAATTTATGCAGACAGAATTTCTGAGGAGGAAATTACTCAACCAACATCAGCCGCATCTTCAATAAACTTCCCCCTCCACTTTTTCGCTCTCTAAACTTATACTACCAATATTCTACATTACTAACCCCATATTCCAACCATTATATTACTCATTATAATCCTCACTGCTACATCAGTCATCCAACACAATTGCACAACGCAACCATACTCAATAGACGGGAAATCAAAAATTAAGTCAAGTCTTTAGAATTTCATACGGTGCTTTGTTAAATAATGTAGCAGTTAAGGCTTTTCATCCATTTGGTAGTCTCTTACTTACATTTTCTGTCTATATATTTTGATTCTTCTTCCGACCCTCAGTTCTAGGGATTCAGTTTCATCAGTAGAGAACAAATTTATCAGAAATTGTCTTTATTTCGGTAGTTGTATGCCGTCCTTATCGTCCACGAGCATTATATTACAAACTTTCTACTTACAGCTCTATTTCTTATTTAATACAAATTCACTCTAACTGTAATCGAATCCTTTTTATTCTTCATCATAATTGTGTCTTTTACAACTGCTAGCTTATGAACATTTCTAAAATTCATTTGTGCATTTGCGGTTCGAAGGGAAATGTGACTAGTAAATTTTAGTTTTAGGTGTTTGGCCTGTTGTTCGATAGAAGTAGTAAAATGCAAAGTAGAATATCATGCATTACTTGATTACTAACAGTGAATCTTACGTGTACTTCGACTGTGAATGTAATAGGAGATCTGTCTCACTAAATAAATAATAGTTTGCAAAGTTTGATAATGAAAGAAACGTTGGATTTGTACGTTGAAGCATCACAACCAACTCGTCTTGATCGAGTAAATTTAATAATCCTATTGATGCAAGCACTAGACAGATAATTTAAATTTAGGTAGTAGATTATCTGCAAGACATATCTAATTCCCAACAACAAGAGATTGTCGTCTTATTATAAAAATTCTTTTAATCTTTTTAATCTTTTACATATTTTCATTATTTATTTATTTTTCCAGTATTAATCTTTTTCCTTTTCAAGTTTTCAGCTTTATAGTTATCTCTCCACAAACCCTTATTTTGGAGCGGGTGCCGGTCTTGCAGGACTTGGAATTTTCGTATCATTTGCTCGGAAGCTAGCAATTGTATCAAGCACACTTTTCAGAAGGCGTTTTTTAATATCTATGCAAATCAGTAATGAGGATCCGTAAGTTTATCTGTTATCATATGCAAGGCTGTAGGTGAATTTTGCTGTAATATTTGATTGTATCTCGTCCACAGCATTTGTGTTTTTCATTAGCATTAGCGGCAGTGATTCTTTTTTTGTATCAACCATTGTAGCAGAATTATATTAGTTATCAGTTTATATTCTGTTAATTTGGTATTTTAATTCATAGTAAAATTTAGAGCGTATCCCTGGCTGCTGAAATACATTAATCGGCATAGTTTAAGTCAAGCCCGACAAATTTCAGTAAATACGTTTATTACTCAAGCGGAAAGTGGCCGTACTGTGACGAATTTAACATATTTACCTGGACATGGAATGCATTATTTTACTTATAATTATCGATGGATACAGGTATCACATAACACGTTATGTATTAACATGATCAATATTCATTTTATTTTCATCCTCATCGTTTGTTTGTAGATATAATTTATTCTCATGTTTTCAGGTGGAAAGGCAACGAGAAAAACAAGTCATACAAAAAGGAAATTATCGTACACCATTTGAAACTGTGACATTAACCACATTAGGTTTGTCGTCTGTTCTTATCATCACTTCTTTTTAGTATTGTATTTGAACTTATTGCAGGTACTGATATGCGTTTTTTGACAAATTTGCTCGATAAGGCGGTCACAGAAGCTTTGGAGCATGTAAGTTTTTGAGAAAATTTTTTGACAAACTAACTTGATCGTCACATCTTAATTTTTTGATGCAATATAATAATAGCTTTTAATTTTAGTTAGTGAAGTCTTAACATTACTATTTTTTCGGTAGAGACGGGGCTTGTTATATATAGAGCTGTAGGACCAGAATGGCGTCGTTTTGGTACACCTATGCGAAAACGTCCTTTAGCATCAGTTATATTAGAAAATGGGATTTCGAAGTCAATTGTAAATGACTTTCAAGAATTTTGTTCCTCTTGCAAATGGTACTGTGTTTTGAGTGATTCGAAAGAGTTTTATGACTTTTTCATCTGAACGTTATGAGAATTAATTTTCATTACAGGTACACTGAGCGTGGGATTCCTTACCGTCGTGGATATTTATTTTACGGACCACCAGGGTCTGGAAAAAGCAGTTTTATTGCAGCCTTAGCAAGCCATTTTGGTTACAGTGTATGCATGTTATCACTTAGTGAACGAACTCTCGATGATGACCGTCTAAATCATCTTCTGAATACTCCCCCTGCTTACGTGAGTCTTCATTTTATATTTTTATTACAGAAATTTTTTTTTGAATTTATTAATCTAGTAATGCAGAGTGTAGTAGTGCTGGAAGATATCGATGCCGCTTTTATTTCTCGAGAAGATCCAGTGCAGTCTTCTAAGGCTTATGAAGGCTTAACAAGGTATTTTGTACTTTTTTCTAAATATTTATCTATTAAATTGCAGAAATTTTTAATATTTCTTTGAAAGGTTCTAGCGCTTGAATGTAAAGCATAAATTCTTAAAAAGAAAAAATGTGGAGGTACATATTATACATTGTAGAGTGACATTATCGGGTTTACTGAATGCCATCGATGGTGTTGCTAGCGCTGATGAACGAATACTTTTTATGACAACTAATCATATTGATCGTCTTGATCCAGCTTTAATACGTCCAGGCCGTGTAGATGTGAAACAGTATTTTGGTTATTGTACTGAGAAAATGTTTTCTGAGGTACTTTTATTTGAAATTTTCACGAATATTTCTGTGCAAAAACTAAACTGCGTATTATGAATTACTCATGTGTGGACATTGTTCAGTATATCTGTCACATATGCTTTCATTTTGCAGCTGCTCTTGTATTTCACTAAAAGAAAAATTATTTTCAAATGAAAGATATCAGCTTGACTTGATAATCAATTTAATTTTTATGTTTCAGTATTTTACTTAGCCATAAATTGTAAAATTGATACATTCTAAGTGGTAAAAATCTGCTTCGATTTTTATATAATAAAGCATATGAATTTTTTAAATGCATTGTAAAAAATTTTTTACAGATGTTCAAGCATTTTTATGGCCCTGAGATCTCGGAGGAAATGGCTTTAAGATTTGGAAAAGCTGCAAAATCTCTTAATACAGAAATAAGTCCAGCACAAGTCCAAGGATATTTATTATTACGTAAAGAAAGTCCTCAAGCTGCTATGGATGATATAACGACAATAACTTGTTTTAATTAATGATAGAAGATCTATATTCCACATTAGTTTATAAAAATGAATTGCAGCAATTTATCAATGCAAGTCCAGTTTCGTTAATGACATTAGCCCATCTTCATTCGTTACGTTTCTCCATAATCCAATTTCTTTAACGAATGTTCTTTCTGAAAAAAAAATGAATGAATTGACCTTCATGCATTCATGTTTTATTGGCTGACACTTTCTTTTTATTTCAAAGAATACTCATGTGTAACTATTACTGATTTAACCCTATTGTTATTGATGTAAGAACTAAAATGAAACTCAGTATTCATGTCAATAATTTTGCTTCATAAATGGTTGCAGCCAGAGAGAACTAAGTATTCGTATTTTTATCACCGCTCGGATTATATATTTGAACACTGATGTTTAAATTAACTTCATTACAGTATTGAAAGTGGTTTAGTATCTAATAATGAACAAGTCTCAATGCAGAATATCTAAAGAGTTTGGAAACGGTTTGTTGCTTCAACCCATAGGCTATGTTGTCTTTCTGTACAGTCATGTATTTTTTAAAGATTTTTTGCCATTAGAAAGTTTATTTAGACAAACAGGGTGTTACCTGATTGGATTTGATATTTCCTCAAAGGAAGACGGATTGTGAATGGAAGCATTTGACTGTGGGCAGTTGCTGTTACCTTCAAATGTAATAATTTTGTATTTCAAGTTTGTAGTTTTTGGAAATAATTTATGAAACTTTTGGAGTTAGTTTAAGAAAACTGAAATAATTTCTGAATATAAATATGGCAAATATAGTACCAAGGAAAAAACAGTAGCGTACAATAACGTAGACTTAAAAACTATCAGCAGCATGTCTTTGAATATTAGGCATCTGGATTGATGGGAGTTGGCTGAGGGTTCTGAAGGTATATACATTTTCGGGATCTAGTAGTTGACTGGAAGTAGATAAGTGTCGCTTTCGTCCTCCTAATCACTATTTCGGTGGTAGTGTTTGGGTGTTTGACCGATATGTGAGTTCTACTACTAAGAATGAGACGTAAAATAGCATAGTAGGACGCTCTAGGCCGCGTTTTACTTCAAGGGCGGGAATTATAAACTATGTGTGACAGTTAATTGATGATATTGATGTATGGTAGAAGCTGTTGTTTCGTGCGAGTTTAGGCTGATTTGGAAGATATGTAGTAGTTTTGGACTGTTTTGACGTAGCAGGTTTTTTTGTCAACTTTCATTGTTTATTAGGTTGTTATTTAACAAAAACTTATCCTGAATAAAAAATCAGGGCAGCATTGTGAGTCAACATAGTACCATGAGTACTATTATTGAATGCCAAGATTTTATAGCAATTTTAATCGTTATTTAGGCTATAAACTCTTAAATTACTTTGATAACTAGATTGAGTTTTGTTATATGTCTTAATTTCGAAATTTCAGCGGTTAGTTTTAATTAGTTCTATCGAAAATATTCAAATTTTGAGTTAAGTAACGTGACATATTAAGAATGTGATGGGATTGGTACAAGCGTTATGGAAGTTTTAGATAGCATCCAAATTTCAAAAAAACCTTTTTTTTTCCGCTCATAATACAGAAACAGAGTACTGTACATAACGTTTTATCATTTACATTATCTTATATTTTGTAACATCCCACACTGAAATATCTCACTCAGAAATATTAATTGTCGTGAAATTATGTTCACTCATAATAATGACCATAATTCCTTTCCAAGACAAATTTTTGTTGAAGGGAATAAGCAGGTTCGGAATTTCGTGTTTGTTCACAGTGCTGCCTTATATTTAATGATTATATTTAACAGAACTGCTTACAAGAATTTTCTTATTTAAATAACGCTTAAGCAAAAATTGATAGAAAGTTTGAAAGTCACAATAAAAAGAATTTACTAATTAGTATTTAACACTGGATTATGATTCATTTTTGTTTTTACAACAAATTTTTCAGCAAGCGTTAATTTGAGGTGACGATGTTTTTAAACTGCTTCATTTTTTTGCTTTTCGATCAAAATATATCTTATTGTTTTCAAAGTTTTTAAGATTTATAGTACTTAGAACGAAAATATGGCTGAACAATTGGGGGACGAGAATGTTGCGTCAAAAAAACTGAAAGAACAGTTGGAACAAATCAAGGAAAAAGCTGGTAGTCACAGTGAGGTTGATTTTATCATTCATATGTCAATACTTGATTTTAAGGTAAATAATTTTGGATATTACGTTTAGATTTATCGGATTTATAGTATGATTTGACCGTTGCCAAAATCTGCCGTAGTTTGGTTCGTAATCAAGTATTGTATTTTTTGAAATTTTTTACATAACAAACGTTGGAAAGAATTGCTCTTATGTTTTGGAGGACAATTCCGAATTTGAATATTTTCATAACTTGTTAACATAAATGTAGAGTTGATTAATTTTTGTGTTTCTCAAAAAATTGTCGCATGCATCATTACTGGAGTTGTTTAGGAAAAAAATCGAGAATCATTTGATATTGAAATTGAAACGGAATTTTCATTACCGTGCTCATTAACAACATACAGCTCTGAGAAATGTGATATGGAATTTTGGCTTTTGGTGACTAAAAAATTATCTCAACAAGTTGATAAATTGCGTGCTGATAATGTTCAAGTTCGTAAATTATAAATAGAATTTTGTGATACGTAAATTTTTTTATCTCTTCCAGTGAGATTTTTCCATACGTTAATTTTGCAAAGTTTAATACATACATGTAAATATCTATAAGCAATTAAATGAAATATAAGATATAATTCTATACAAAATACTGACAATTGTCGCGATTTTTAAGCTAATAAAATTATTAGATATAAGATAGCCTGTTGTTTCCATCTTCAATTTAAAAAAAATTACATATCAAACTTACGATCTTGGAAAATTTTTGTATTATTTCATCCAGATAAACGTATAAATTATATAACACATTTACTTTTCATTAAATTTTTAATTATATATAAAAATACTGATATAAACTGATATAAAATGATGAACGGATAAACAGAGAAAATGGAATCACATGTTTCCATATTATTATTCTGATTATTTTTAGTTGGAAAACTCAATAAATGAGGCCAAAACCCGAATCCAAGAACTGGAAAACATGAACAGTAGTCTCCTAGAGAAAGTACAAAATGTGTGCAGTGATGACGACGAGTTAATTTCCATCCTATAATTTTTGTGATATTTAATTTTTTTTAGTGTACTGTATTCTTCATAGCTTTGTTGGAACCAGTGATTGCTTATATATGTGTCATTGGAATTTTCTGACTTATATATGTTCCATTGTAATTTTTTGAAATATTTGAATCATAGCTCTTTAGTTCTCTTATTGTCTTAGGAGTGAGGTGTGAGTTGTGATTAAGTGTACATAACATTAAAAAGGGTCTTGACAGCATTACGATTAAGACCTTTCATAGTTGCGAGCAGCTATCACCAAATTGTATAACATCTTTGTGCTATTTAACAGTGTTTAAAAAGATGATTGCTGACAATCGCTTCTAAACTTTAGTTTCAAGCCATCAGCCTTTAATTTTTATAACAAATTTTAAAAGTAGTGCTGAGTAACTTTCGAAATTTTGGAATTCGTTATGCATTGCAATTGTTTGTCTTGGAACTGTTTTGCGTTAATAAATTTTTAGTGCTACGCTTTGCAGTTGGTTATTTTCTTGATAGCTGAAATATCATTTTTCATATCGTTGATTTAACTGTTGCACCGGGTTTGTACTTTCTTTCTACCTTAATCTGTTAAAAATTGACAGGTAGTGTATTGTTTCGTATTTAAGTATGTAGATTTCTCTTACTAATACCAAGCTAGCATGAGATGAGATGAACGAGGTATTTTTCTTTTTATCTGACGCAGTATATTCAATTTTCTTGAAATGCGGGTCATTAAGTCTAATGTGTAACATCTTTAGATGTTTACTTTTTCATTATTTTTTCTGTTTCAATTAATTTGAGTAATTAGAGTTACTGAGCAATTCAGAATGACTTCTCGTGGAGCACTTTGCCAGGTGCAGAATGTACCGGTGCTTGCAATACGAAAAGCTGACAATTTTGAAGTTTCGAAAGCAACTACTAGTATTGTTAAGGTAAGATTTCATCAACTGTTCATTTCTTGTAAATCAAAGGAGAAACGCAAAACAAAACTGCAATGTGGTTGTTATGGCTAAAGGCAAAACTGTATTTAGGATGAGGAGGAAAGCAAATCGAAGGTTATGGATAAAGAAGCTGCAGTAAAAGGTAAGGAAAGTATTGATGAAGTGAAACTGTCGATAGCGAAAGTCGTGCATGAATCACCCAAGACAGTTGAGGTTTCGCTTATTTCATTCAGTTACAAAAACATCTGTAACTTTTTTGTTTTTGTGGACAAATCTAGTTTTTAACTTGTCATGTATGTTGGTTCTGCACGAACCTGTCTTAACTTCAAATCTTTTATAACTGAAGCCAATGCAACTCTTTTTATAGAGTTTTTTTTTGCTAACTTGGAACATATTTTTTATTTTTACATTTCTTTTAATTTAGTATTACGGAAACCTGAATTAAGCAGCAAAAAAATTGTACAGCATCGAAAATCTAAAAACTAAGGCAAATATTTTACTCAGTAAACTACTACTAAATATATTTTTGGGATTTCTCGGTGGTTTTTCTCTATTTATGATAATTTCAATAATTATTCATTTATTTGTAAACAAAAAGAAGAGAAAAACAATAACCCTGCTTCGGAACATTGTAATTCTAAGTAAAATGAAAGACTGTTTTGTTTCAGATTGGAGTCCAAACGGATGTTACAGTGAGTGAAAAGTTGCCAAAATTGACAGCGGAAGAATTAAGGTCGCCGGAAGCAAGCGCAAACTATTGGCGTCGACTAGCGGAACGGCTGTATATCGATCTCAAACAGAAAACAAAAATAAATTTCGCGGTTTGTTTGTGATATATTGATTTATTTAAGGCTTCGTAAGAATTTTTAATGGAAGTTGATGTTGAATAACTTTTCACTTATTACAAATTTCTGAACACTGTTTATTAAGTGTTATGAAGAGTGTTCAAATTGTCCCGTTTTCTGAAGTCAGTTTGACAGTTTGAATATTTGTAGACAATAAAAAATTTCTGTGATTGTGACTGTAGATTAAACAATATGTGTTCTATCATAACGGTAATGCCTCATATATTACAGCTCTCAGTCAGATGTGCCAGTTTACTTGAGGTAGTCATAGAAAAAGAAGAAGACTATTTGATGCTGAAGAGTTATGCAGAGAGATGCAGTATTGATATAAATGGATATGGCAGTGGTCATAATGAATCAGACAGCAATGATTATATAATACCATATTAAATTTTTATCAAGTTGAGGAAAATGATATTAATTTTGTCAAAAACAAAAATTAAAGATAAAGAGTGTTATGAAGTTCCACTGGACAAGTTTGTTTGATACAATTTTCTTTGATTTTTTATCATTGAATGCTGTTTTCTATTTATTTTTAAGAAATTTTTTGTCTTTAAGCAAAAAACATTTTTCAGTTTTGTATTTTGCTTGATTTTTATCATTATATTTCGCATATTGATGAGTTATATTTTAGAATTGATTGATTTTTATTCCGGAATAACTGGTATAGTTTCCTCTGGAAGGAGAAAGTCAAAGAAGAGCATAGTTAATTAAGATATCACTTATGAATCTTAAATTATTCCGTTTTTATGGAATTCAGTATTAACTGTCAACTTTTCATGTTTTTATATGCTGTTTTCAATCGACATATAAATTGCTGTTACTGCAAAAACCGACATCATATGTTAAGAATTAATCAACTGAAAACAATGAATCTGCTGTTAAATTCTTTCAGAAAAATGTCCTGATTTTGTCTTTCTAGATTTTTTTACATTTTGTTTTATTCTATTTTTTGCTGAACTAAGCGTATATTGTTGCTTTGAATTATGCAAACTTTCTAGTTTAGCATCACTTCTGTTTTATCCTTGATCCGTTAAAAAGAAGAAAACTTACTGAAAAATCTGGTTATTACTGTTTATAAGAGCAACTGGTTCATTGAGTGATTTTGCAGTTTATTGGAATAAAAATTTCAATCTGTAAACTTTGGTTTGTTCATTTTTTCAAGCTTGTGCAGAACACTTACTCTGTCTTCCTCTGCTTTTTAAAAAGTATACTTGTTCCGTGGCATCAGACTTTTTTTCATTTGTGCGAATACATTCAGTAAAAACTGAGATATTTTATACTTTTGCTTGCTGAAATTTCGAAAAGTTTTATTTTGCATTCTTTCGAGATATTTAAAATTTTAGTATTAATAATTCCTGTTCGTCATTATTCAAGTATGAAGTTCCGACTCATGGTTTTATATTATTTTTAATTTCACTTGTGTTAATTTAGAAGTGCAAATTGTTCTGATCTTACTTATATAGAAGTGCAAGATTACTCGTGATGTTTATTTGGAACTGCAAGAGAATGCAGTTACTGCTTCGCATTTTCTTTTTCTTCTATTTTACAACGAACTGTCTGAATGAAAGTTGAAGTAATAATATTACTTAGTGGTTTCATATGTATGTTGCGTAATTTTTACGTGTGGTAAGAGAATGATTTCCATCGATGTTTAAGAAGCAGTGTAAGAAGAAGATGGCAACCATAAAAGTAGTAGAATGGTGATTGAAGAAAGTATTCAGCATAATTTTTGAACTGAGTATGAGAGAAGTGGTCAATTGCCTAGTACCATATGTATCATCCCATTAATTAATTAATATTTCAAAAGGATTGATGGATGCATGCAGTTGTTGATATGGTTTCGTTGTTCAGATAGCGTGTGAGCAAGCAGACGGATACATTCGCATGGATGGACGTTAACTCTGGGTGACACCTGTCGTAGTTCACATTGTTCATGGAACAAACAATCAACGCAACTATCTCCAGCTATTGCTACTACTACTCTACTACTTAATAATAATACATCTTTTCTACCATGCATAATATTTCATGGATCATCGCATTCCAATTTGTTACATCCTTTTTTTGGGCATTTACTCATTGCCAATATTTTTAGCGAGTGACATGGATCACTTATACTTTTGTCAATAATTGATTTTCAAGCGGCAGTAGCATCTGTGGTTTCTAATTCAAATAATGTAGTCAAGTTTTTGGCAATGATTACTTTTACGGTATAATTTAGCAATCATGCAAAAAATATCCTGACTGTAGGAAAATCTTTTAAATGACGTGCATCACTCAAGTTGTAGCAATATTTATGGATATAATTTCATGTGTATCAAGTTCTTCATTATGCAACGAAGAAAGCGTCCAAAATAGTTCACTGTCTTTCTTTAAATTAGAAGCTAGTATCTTCCTTGCAATTTCATCTATTTTTCAACGCAAAAAACTATATATATACATATACATATACATATACATATATATTGAAGAAAACATAGTAGGGCGATGTGGAGGTTAGTTTTCGTCTTCGCTTTATTGATCCTGGCGCTGGACCGCGTTCCGGCACTCTGGCTGTACTCATCCCGCGCTCAGATTTATATCTACATATAGTAATATATTTGTGAAGACATTAAATATTTTAGATTAGTTATGAACGCAGCTCTTAGAAATACCAGTTTATGTTGGAATAAATCAACAAATAAGCAATTATAAAAAAAGAATTGGTACTGAGGTTATCTTGAAGGATTAAGGTTGAGATCACGGATAATGATTGCTTGAAATGATTCTTGCAGTTGTAACTCAGTTGGTACTTTCAACGCTTTTGCTCCGAAATCACTCTAAAGTGATAACTAAACAATAGTGGTATCTTTATGAATGCTCTCTAAAGCTAAACGGAAGTTATGACCTTTACTTGCTCCCTGCGTGAGTAAAAAAAGAAATAATATGAAATGCTTGCAGAAGAAATCAAGAGCAACTGCAGTATGTCAACAAACTACCCTCTCTGTAATTGCTTGTTTGGTGTACAGATTTAGACAGGTAAAGTTGCGGTTGCCTTAAAGAATTAGCATTCAGACCACGGGCAATTAATTGCATTAAGCTATCAGGCAAGCGATTATCTCTCAAAGACACCTGATATTTCCTCGATAATCCTGATGTTTATGCTTTTCCGCTAACACCTGCAACTTAACTCTCGACTATTGCAATTAATTCAAGTCAAATATTGAGAAACACCATCTAAAATTAATTTACTAGCATTTGCAAACTTGGATTTTATTTATACAATCTCGAAAATTTCCTTCTCGTGCCATACCACTATTATTATCATTATTTACAATTATTATTATTGTTATTATTATCATTATTATTATTGTTAAGTTGTAGTATTAATTATTTATTATTGTTAATTATTATTATGACTTTGTATTTTTCATAAATAAAAGTAGTCACTGTAATAATTTTAACATTAAGATCAAGACAAGAAGGTTTACAAACACCAGTTGTTGGTACTTTAATATCATCTTTTATTCAAAGTGATTGATAGAAGCAATCAACAGTAATGGTACTGATGACGTAATAAGATCGGAAATTCCAAATACTGCTTGCTAAAAGTTTAACGATTACAGTTGTGATGTATTTCAGTGTAAGCAATAAACTGTATAAATTGAAAGTAATGAAAGTCAAGCTATTTATTGTTAGTTAATTGTTGATCAAAAACAGTAATTGTAGGCAAAACAAAAGTGTGCATGTATATATATGTTATCAGTTCTATTAGGATATTTTGAATGAAATGACTGCAAGGGTTGATATTTTGAAAGAAAAGAGTCATCGGGTCAAAAATTACATCTATTGAAGCATAAAATAATCGCAAGCAATTAATATTGTTGTCATTATTATTATCGATTACTTATGTTAATTACTTTAACTAATTTTTGCAATTTTAGGCGTAAGTACTGAAGTCAGTTGTGATTTATTGTTGAGATGGTGGAAAGGTCAAAAGTATCGACCTATCTATGCTCATATCTGTTGAAGATTTTCTCAGTGATTGCAATTGCTCTTTAATGATTTGCATTATTTTGTACTAAAGGCTTCCTCTGAAAATGAATTGCAGAGAATTGCATTTTTGAAAATTGCAGAAATGAACTATAAAATTTACTACCACATATCAGCGTTATAAATAATAAACGGATGTAAAATGAATGGCAGAACATGGAAGAGAACAAGGATTCATCCCAGTGGGATTTGACATAGACATCCTTTCAGTAATTCTTTCTCTTCATCATGGTCATCATTTTATAATACTACAATAATAATAATGATGATAATAATAGTAGTAATAATGATAATAATGCCAATTAATCATGAGATTCTTTCTGACAAGCACCGCATCATTTTCTATTATTTCTACCGTAATTTCTCCAAGGATTTAATCATTTTTTTTTCGTTTGAACAGTAAAAATGCCGACATCAAGTTAAATTCAACATATTTAGTGTCAGCAGTTCAGAGGTTGAATTATCTGAAGCTTAATCTATCTTTTATAGAAATAAAAAAGGTCAAGTGCCACAAACATGAAAAATTATCTCAAAAAATTTGATGACATATTTTTTCATTTGTTCGATTAGGAAATGAAGAAATTATCATTAAGTTGCAGTGGTATTATTTGTTCTATCACATAACTTATGACATTTTAGATAGAGAAATAAACGATGACGTCATAAAATCATAATTTGCGTAATGAAATAATAAAATCTGTATTTATTTGATTGTATATTCATAGTTACTTAAATATTAAACTATTATAACTAGCTAAGAGAGTATGGTATTTCACTCTTGCAGATTACTTGAATTTTTGATAAAGTAATTTAAGAAAGTTATTTCGGTAACTATTCGAGTGTTTCAGTTGCAAATAAGTTGACTTGTGTTTAGAAAACAATTTATTATTCTTATCTTGAGTCGAAAACTCGATTTCTGATTAACAAGCAGTTGGAAAGCTTCTTTCATTCTGATCAAACAATGATCTATCCTTGCCTGAACTTAGTACTTTCTTTTGATGGAAGGGATCAGCTTAAAAAAACCATCACATTTGAGGAATGACAACTGAAAGTTTATTATTTTGCTTATAAAAGCTTTGAAAATAAAAAGTTAAGTAAGCAAGCAGATAGGTAAGTAAGTGAGCAAATAACTAACTAACTAAATAACTAAATAAATAAATAAATAAATAAATAAATAAATGAGTATCATCACGAAAGCTTTAAATTGCAATTATTTTGTGGCTGAGAATGCGCGCATAGTAATTTTTGTTCAGATATGCTACATTTGCTCTCTAAAATATAAATAGAAATTGTCAATCTGGAGATGAGAAAGGTTGAGATTATATATGCAAAGAAGATAATGCAAAGCTTAAACGCTTGGCAAGATGCTTGGCTGCCTGAGGCAAGAAAGTTCCAGGCTCTTGGCCAAGTTCTCATCTCGAGTCCCAGGCTGCTTTCAGTCTTGCCTTCTTTCCTTTCACTTACCGTAATTAATGAATTTGATATCGCAGGATGAAAATGAATTGAATGAAGCAGCAGCACATTTTCAATTTGATATCATTCGCATTTGGACAAATGTGGAATGGTTCATTTTTCTCGTCAACAATCTTCCATTCATAAAATTTCTGTTATTTTTATTGCAATTTTTTTGAACTTTTTTATTATTTTTAATAAAATTTTCACTCTAACACTTAATTTATTCTTTTTATGCATAAATTTTTTATCCTCAAAATTAAATTGATAGCTAATGATTGGCTTTTTCAACTAGTTGATGTCAGCTTTATTCTTGCGCATGAAGTTTTGCGCAAGAATTCAGAAACTAATTGATTGTTGATTTAATAAATACAACCATCAATTATATAAGCGAATAAATACATTCAAAATTATTAATTATACTTCATAAAAAATAAAATATGTGTATTATGTAAAAATCATTTCCGTTAATATGATTATTGTATCACCAGTGGTACTACTATACAGTTACTGTACATTGAAGTTGATGATACGACTTTCTGAAGTTGAAGTATTTTATAAAAATCAAATGAATAAAATAAGATGATCTGAGTCAAACCTTATATTAAAAATGCATCTGAAGCAAGTAAAGAGTCATAGGTCATGGGTCATGTTACATTATATTATTAATACGTTTTGTATGACAAATTTTCTCAACTATTAGAAATGCTTCATTTGGTTTTGATTTGAATTTCTGCGTGCAATCTTTGAACTCGCTAATTTTTATCTGTTCTCGTCAAGCAGTGATCAATGACATTTACTTTTATCTCATTATGTATTCAAAGTCATTGGATTTCAAATTAATTGAAAAATAAGGTAAGTGAATGACGATGGACTTGGCAACAAGCATGGATTAAAAAAAATTAAGAATTTAAACGCAACATTGTTCCGTCAAACTCTTGCTACATTTATTCAAAAAGGCTATGCAGAAGGTCAAATGTTAAAGTAGGGCCATTTTCTGTAGACATCGCAAATTATAAACAACTAGTATTACAATTGTGTACTTAATTTTAGCTATAAAATGTTTCTTCAACACATCTGCTAGCACATATTTGGATGATGAATTCAAAAATACCTTTTAAATGAACAGTTTAATAGTAGCAATATAGCAATGATATTAGCAGTTGCGAAAATAATGCCAACGCATACATCTGATACATTGCGATTATTTTCACGACTGTTATCATCATCGCTGCTACATTACTGCTATTAAAGTGCTTATTTTGTCATTGCAGTATAAGCTTTTATTAACGATGAAAAGAGTTAATTTAGAAACATGAATAAATAATTTACGCCAAGACGCAACATTTTCATCAGTCTGAGAACCAAACAAGAATCAGACAGCAGTAGATAGTTAGCAAGTATATCACACAGCCAGTGAAGAATTCGAAGTGTTATTTTTACTCATATAAATGTTTCTGAGTTGCTTTATGGCTTATATTTATGCAAATAATCCTAGCAGCGGAATTATTAGCAAGCTTAAAATTTGGCGATTTCAGAACTTTTTCAAGGAAAGCTTTCGAAAGTGACAGATGCTTTCATGTTTTAGCAACTATCATATTGTGATTCTCAAATAGTAACATTTTTACTTGAATAATTCGAAAACTGTCTTTTAGAGTTCAAAAGTCAGCTTATAAAAAAGAAATTGTTTGCAAAAAAAGTAATTGTTTATTTGCGGAAGAAAACATGCGTTTATTGAATTACTATAGAAAGTGTTAAAGTGCACCTGACTTAAGAATAGCTTACGCAACACCAGATGTCATTAATTTATGTCTATTACAAGGAAGTTAACTGATACTTTTGGTCTGAAGGTCATTGAAAGGTTACACTACTGTTGACCTGAAATAAATACCGCCAAAATGATATTTCTTTGATTAAAAGAATAATCATATAAATGATTGATTACTTTATTTGTAAGAATTATGTGCTTAGTACAGTTAATTTCTATTCATTCATCACGATCCTTTATAAGAATGTGGTTGAATTCTTCGTTACATTCTCATAAATCAGATTAGCTTTACATTAATTCAGTCTATTAGGTCAGATTTCAGAAATGTGAAAGCAAGAGTAGGAAATGAAAATATTGATATGAATATTAAGTTATTCAAATTATCGCTTGCTAAAAATATTTTTGAACAAACTCAAACGATACACCAAATGGTAATTAAAAAATTTGGGATGAAAAAAGAGGTTTCGAGATGATTTTATGTCCTTTTGACCCAATAGATCCATAAAAAATCTTAAAATCTGACCAAGAAAACTATTGAGAAAATTTTTCCATATTATCAAATTTGGTTTCTGAGTCAACTTTGCTTCTGAGAACTCGATCGAAATTGAAAGTAAGAAAGTGAGAATACGAATCAATGCCCAATTTCCAACCTAATTTTCAAATTAATTGTTTTCGAAACGAATAAGTCATCCTCGAGTGAAGTTGACCCCTCATCCTCAAGTTTTCCTTGTACAACTTTCAGAAAATTTAGTAAGAAAAGTCTGAAATTCGAACTAAAAAGTGAAAAATGAATGCAATGTGTTTTGATAGTATATTGAGAAAACGTACAATTTATTTCGGACTTTCTATCAACTTGAAATCTCATACGACGGGATCGTTCTCTACAGAATCAAGTCTGAGCAAAGGACTGAAGAGATAGAAGTCTTGCGAAAGCTGAAATCTTTCAGAAGACAATTTTAGTTATTTTTACTTGCTTTCTGAAATAACTTTTCTTCCATTTCAAGCAACAAAAAAGCTGGAAAATTTTTCAAAATGGTTAACCAATGTATGGCTTTTCTAGAAAAAGAAAGAAAGTAAGAATTCGATTGAAAACAGGAATTAACACAAACTTTTTCAGCCTAAAATTATTTTTCACTATTGACCAATGAAAGTGAAAATTGGAGGCGGTGCTTAACTATTTGCTGAATCGATGGATTTTCAGGAGGATACGGTAATGAGAAGGACACTTTTCCATGATGTCGAGAAAACTAAAAAGCTTCTCGGTTGACGCTCCAACGTCTATCGACCAATGTGAAACGCGTCACTTCTTTCAAGCAGGTGTTATATTTCTCCCTCCACCTCCTCATACTTCCCGTTTAAGTTTAATATATTTCGATTATTGGAACTGTATTACTACCCACATTATCAGCTTTATTTTCTATCACATACTGTTCAGTCTTATTACATTATATCGAATTTTCGATTAGCTAAACTCAAATTTATGCATATTTGTGTTATCCAGAATTAAACGCGGAAAAAATTAAGGGATGCAATCACCACAGCGATTATATCCCGGACTGAATACGATTACATCAGCTGCTACTGTAAGTCGTTATTCACCTATCGAAACTGGAGCTACAGCAACTGCTGCTGCAGCTGCATATCGTACCAGAATGCCTAGTGTGGGTATTTATCAGTTTACGATTCTCATTAATACCAATTTTCATATGTTTCAAATAGATACCATTTTTTAAGCCTCTTTACATTTATCGACGTAAGAATGAATCTAAAGAAAGAATATTAAACTAAAATTTCACACTATATGTTAACAATGATAATATTACTGTTGTTATTTACAATGATAGCAGTAATAACAGCAATGAGATAAGAAGATAAGTAAAATTTACATGACAAATTACAAAATTTTCTGACAATTTAAAGCAGTCCAAAAGAAACCAACCAGCAAGAAGGATATATTTATTCATTAATGAGACCATTTGGAACAAGTTCACCAGATCAATCAAGTCTTTTTCAAGCATATCAAATATAAATATGGCATTCTAAAATATCTATTTATTTATTCCCCAAGCTTGTTTACATTTGTTTAACTATTCATCATTTTCCAAGTTTTATTACTAACACTATTGCTGCCAAGCATAGACGTCACAATTAGACATAATCAGCAGAAATATCAGCCTGATAACTATTATTACTGTTGCTAGTAGTGTTATTTTCATTATTAACATTATTATCGTTACTATTAACTTACAACTGCCGTCAGCCACATTAAAATATGAAGTAGCAAAGATACAAAAATATCCTTATAATTTTATGTTATTAACTTCAAAGGAACTAATAAGGTAATGACAAATGAGCAAAACTCACACACACGTGAACTACAGCTGCGCTTATTAAAAATTGAGTAAGATATTGATAATTTATAAATGCGTTGGATTTTTTGGCTTTTTATTCATACGTAAATATTTACTTGTCTAATTTCTGATTCAAGCAATATACTATTCATTTACTACCTTTTCAAACAATTTAGAGTTGATTACTCGTATTTTGGCTCAGAATGTGTTTTAATAAGTACTAAAAAACTTTTTAAATGAGATTTTCAGTTTTTATTAGATTAGAACAAAACTTGAAAACTTAATCAAACAGATTGTAATGAGGAAAATTAGGACTAAGAGCGAAACTTAAGTAATTATCGGATTGAATAAACTGTTGAATAAGCTAAGTAGCTTAAGATTGGTTTTCAAATTGGTGCTTTGGTATGTAAAAAAAAGTTGGCTGAAAGCGCTGATTAAGTGAGATATTTCTGCTAGCATCTTTAAATGTCTTCATACCAAACTTCTGAATCAAGTCATACCAAAATATTGAACTATCCTTAAATCTAAGTAACAAATGTTAGACTAAGAAGAATCTACAGAGCTTGATCTGCTATCACTTTCAGAAGGAATTTTCCCAATTTCCACTTGAGAGTATTCGAAACTCACTAATAACTGCTTACTATACTAACAGCTTAGTTTTTGATATAAATTACCATTGAATACAAACCTTATGAAAATATAAGAATTAGGGTATTACTTTCGTTAAAAATAACTGTTTGGTTTATTCAATGGCGAAAATCTGCTAAGGAGGAAGAATTGTTTTTCTAAGCTCTAAATAAAAATTAGCGAAATATTTAAGGATTTAAATCTGAGAGAATAAAGAGAAGCAAAAATCTGAACACATCGGAATCATCGATAAATATGCGTGTGATGACTGTTTTCTTTTGGTTTGTTCAAATGATTTGGTTATTAAAAAATTTGGTTTCTAACTTATTCAGTGCGCTCATTATTTGACATTATTTGCTTCGTACTTTTTTTACTTTTACTGCTTAAGATTTTAAAGCAAATTCGCTTTTGTCACTAAGTATGACAAAATTTTTAATACGCTCAATGATTGATTTCAGTTGCAAGAAGAAAAAACAATCAAAAATTCGACTGATCTAAAAATTATACTCTTTTTATTAAATTTACTCAATAAGTTATTGAGGCAAAAACAATACACCATAAAATGCTTCAACTAATTTTAAATAAAGGGATACAAATTGTAGCTTTTTGTTGAATTTATTTGAAACATCACTTCATTTGTATTTTTGCATATGAAAATGCATATGAAAATTCCATCAACTTTGAAGTCCTTTCAGAATTTTCAAACCAATTCAATTTTTGGCACTTTTGATGATACATTATTTCAAGCAAGAGCTGCTCAAGCCGCTCTTGCTGAAATTGACGTTAAGAATGTTAATATGGCTGCAAGTGGAATGCTGCGACCCACTGATATGTTCACGTAGTGTTTTTTTTTTACTTTTAGTGCATAAATTTTAAAAAAATTTGCTTTTATTACTAAATATGACAAAATTCTTACAACTTTTAATAACCTTCGGCAAAGATTGAGCGCGAAAAAATTATAATTTGAAATATATACATATATATATATATATATATATATATAT